TTTACACAAGAGTCGGTCGATCTCGCGTGGATAATTTGTTTGCCGGTTCTAGAGCGACGTCTGTTTGCACAACCGAGTCCCTGTGCGTAGCCCGTTCTTTTTTTCGGTTTATCGTAATAGCCGGCCATTATCGTGGCCCACAAGCCATGGTAATCTCAAGTGTTACCTACTCTCTCGTTCTCGAGATCTCGGTTCTTTGTGGGTGGTACACCGCTCTTCCTCCTCTTCTCTCGGTTTGACGGCGAACGGCCTGATGTCCTCGCGCGCCGCGCCTTGCACTGGCGATCCTGGCCCTCGCCAGGAGAAACGTGTACGCGTGTACTTCCTCGTGCGATAAACCTTGCAATTCTATTGAGCGCATCGAGAAATCGTTCGACGACATCTCTCGGTTAGTTTATTGTAAAACGCGGTAACAAATTTAGCGATGGAGAATGGAGAATGTCCGGTTTTGGTCGGTCTAGTTGGATATTATTTTTATCCTCCTTGGTTCATTTTCCCTTTGAGATCCATGATTGTCAATTATATGTTACATAATTGGTATCAATCGTTGCGAATCGCGGGCCCGTTACGTGTCTATAATTAATTTGATGGTCGATAAATAATTATCGAAGATTAAAAATTCGCAAACATTTATTATTACATACGTTTCGAATTCATCAAATTCGAAGAAATATTACTTTTTTAAAATTATATTATTTTTCTTTTATTATTATTATAAATATTTGCAAATTATTTCTCCCTTTAATAAATTTATCGAACAAATTATTTATAAAAGAGTAATGAATTCACAATTTTGCCCGCGTATACTGTACGCGTATTTATAATCCGTATACTTATTGTCTATTTTTGAATGGGCACGAATCGTTCAACTCATCATTGTTGAACGTAACAATTCCATCATGCTCGAGTGCTATCAAAACTACGCGAAAAAAAATAAAAAATAAAAAAAATGAATCACAATTTTCGAAAAAATTTAATCGAAACGATGATATTCGATTACGTCCATTAATAAATTTGTCGGCTCGGATCGGTTCGTCCGGGAGAAAGACACTTCTCCCGTCTGTCCCACTCTCGTTTAAAACAACAGTGTCGAATTATCGCGAATTGGCTCGAACGGTTGCGACGATGGCGCATCGGGTCGAGCAGGAAATAGCATCGCAGCCGAGGGGGAGAGAGAGTGGCGAGGATGGAACGAGCGTGTATCGCTTTGACGGGACGAGGATAGACCGATACGCGGGGAGATGGAAGCCGAACACGGCTCTGATTAGCATACAAACTATGCGTGGTCGTGTTGGTTCTCCGCGTTTGCCCGGAACGATTCCCCTCTTTCTCTCTCTCTCCATAGACTACGCTTCTACAACTCGTGCGAGTTGTTCGAGATCGTGATTAAAAAGACACGCGCCATTTCGATCTTCGTGGGCGAATTTTCCCTTTCACGTCGTGGAAAGGGAAAATGTTGTAACCGTTTCACGCCTGGTAGAAGAGGCTTTGTCGATCGATGTCATTTAACTTGATTCAACTTGAAAAGAAACGGAAACGCTCACGCTTGTTGGTTATATTATTTTATTGGAAAAAAAGAATCCGTGTATCCTTCGTTTGTTATGTTAATGGATAAAACATATTTCCCCTCGGTAATCCGAGAATGGCTGCTATCCAGGCACCATCACCACCACTACGACGACTACGACTCGGTTTCCATTTCCCCTCTAGATTCACCTTTCCTCCGATAAATATTCCATATTCCATAGTCGGTGGATCGATAGCAAAAATTTTCTCAATAATAGACTGCACGTTGAATGTAGGAGCATCACGTATACTAATAATAGAAGAAGAAACGAGTTTGTTACCGGACACACCGATCCCCGATAATTTCCATTCTAGCGCGATGTCGTTGACCGAACCTCAACCCCCCTTGTCCCTACCTATTATTCTTGTATCGGCCTTGTCTCACGCGGAAACGCATACCACGGATGATCGTTCGAGGATCGTATCCGATAACCGGGGTCCCTTTTTCTCCCGTTTATTTTCCTTATCCCGGAAAAGAGGAACGGCTCGGTGGAGCGAGCATTAAAATCTGAAAGAAATGCCTCCGTCGAGGCATGGCGAGCAGACGGGGAGGAGGAGGGGGCGGAGATCCCGCGGCCTTTATTTAACCGTCACATTCCCCACGATGCTCCCGGCAATACCTCTTCGCCTAATCTAACCTATATTTTTCACCGTTTCGCCCGACTATCGAGCCTCCCTCCCTCTCCTCCTCCCCCTTTTGCTCACCTTTTCTGCGGTAACTATCCCTTACGGGATACGGGATAGAACCGCGTCTAGACGGAAGCTATCCTCGAAAAACGCCTCCATTCCGCGAAAATGTTCCGACGTTGCGTTCAACGACCGCCAAATCTCTTCTACCCGGAGAAGAGAAACGCTGTTTCGTTTCAGTGTTGAAAAAAAAAAAATTGATTCTCGTAGTTTTCAAGAAGGAGAACAACACTTGAGTCTTTAACACTGAATTTAACTTCAATTCCACCCTCTCTCTCGTTGCGTA